AACTAATGGTGAACAACCCTGACATTACTTAAGGGATAGGAAAATTCAATTGTTTTTACAAAAAGCAAAAACAATTTACATATATGGTGTTAAACTAATTTTTTTTGGTAGGTTTTTTGCTGTTTTGCGGTAGCAAAATTTTGTATCTAGCGAATGAAAGCATTCGCCCATCATAATTTCAAATATCATTCGATTCCCCTGATCCAGTCGACTCGCCTAGCCATTCGCTTAATCGATCATAATAAGAGTAATTGTGTTTAACGTATTGCATGTCATGATTAAAAATTTCATATCAGAAGATTATTAAATTATTTTTCATTCAACATTTGAGCTTGTGATGTTTTGTTTTTTTTTAATTAATTTATGATGAGAATTCATAAAGAGTTGATTATCAATAAAGAAATTATAATGAAAATTTTTGATAATTTACCTTCAAAGACATTTTTTTCCAACGTAAATTAAAAAATTTGAAGGTAATTAATATTTTGTTTGTTTGTTTGTTAATTTTAATATTCTTGTAAATCAGGTGAATATAATAAACATTATTCCAAATAATGAAGAAAAATATGATTGTACGTATATGTGTGTGTACCCTGAAAGATGTTTATGGGATTTATGGGATTTACTGGAAAAATTGTACATACAATTATTTAAACACAATTTAAAGCAACTAATTTGTACTTTGCTAAATTAATAAAAAAAATGTGATAATTTTACTGATGTTTTCATTTTATTAAATATTCATAATAAAGAGGTTTTAGGCAAAAGAAAATCTACACTGTCGAAGCATGGAAAATTATTTGAAACATCGTTAGAAAAGATGAAATTAAAAGAAAAAAATTTTAACTTAGTAGGTATTACATATTGCTATTTGGCATAATGTCTCTTTTATATTATATTTCGTATGCACTTTAAAAACTCAATTTCATTAATTGATACCATCAACCCTAAGTTCCATTTTGGTAATCGCAGACGCGATAGTTGAAGTAGTACCAAGTTCCTGAAGAAAGCCTTTTCTCTAAATCTTGAAATAATTAAGAAATCTAAAAAAATGTACATACGTTTTATTCTAATATTTATTTTATATAAGTAAAAATTTTTTAAAATAATGTAGGAAGTTGAAAGGAATTAAGACTATTGCTTTAAACTTAACCTAAATACTTTTCACATAACCTAAATATTTTTCACGTCATTCTATTTTCGGTTTTGCGTGACATCACATCAGCTGTTAATGCTACCAAATTAAGCACATTTTTTTAACGCCTTCGAAGAACTTCAAGTTGACGTGACGTAATAAATATTTTTATCACGGGATTAACAAAATGTGGGTGATTTATTTTTTTAATATAGTTTCTTAAATTTTATTAAAAATCAATCATACAGCTTATCTATTCAACTGCCTGCTTGCAACAAATTTTCTTTCACTTTTTTAAATTTCATTCAAAAATTTTCAAAATTAAAAACTCGACTAATGATATTTCAAATTGAGCAAAGTGCATGAAGAAATTCACATTTAATAATTTAATTTTTCTAAATACCAAAACAAAAATTTTAAACCATTTTGATAAACGGAGAGACATACATTGCTTAGATGGTAGGTAAGTAGCTTGTTACCTACTGGTGCTGTTGTTCCTACCTGAATCATATTAAAATAGATTTTTAGTGGTTGTCCCAAATTTGAATACTAAATAAATTGCTATTTACATTATATCAATCGAATTTTCACGAATTCCGACCTTAAAATTTTTAATAGAATGAGATTCTTCAACTTTTTCCATATCCAAAAATTATTCTACATCGGCATAGACACCTTAGTTATTATTACTAACCATTAGTTTTGTTATTACTAACCATTTTATTATTATTAACCGAGAATAATGGAATTTTGAATTAAATATAATTAAAAGAAAAAGTAACAAGTAAAATATAGCCGAAAAATATTTTGTTCTTCCAACTGTGCAATATGTTTTTTTTTTCTTTTCTACAAAAAAAAAATTTTTCTTTACAAAAAAGTCAATGCATACACTCTTATGTCAGTAAAATTTATAAAGTATTAAATATATATACATATTTTAAGTTATACGTATATATAAATTTGTGTGAATGATTTTATATCACACACAAATATAAAATTCAACTATCGAACTAGAAATTACTAAATTTATATATGTATTAGTGTAGTTTAATAAACATTTATATATATATCATAAATTTATGTATATATGTATTTTTGCCACATATTTTTTTAAATTCTACATTCACATACACATATTCGTCTCAATGTATATATATATATATATGTATGATTTGTTAAGAAAGTATTCAGATATTTATGTATGTATATACGCTTATATGTAATATTTTTCTAACCAAATTTAAATTGAATAATTTCTTACTTATCATAATGTTAAATTAGAAAATGTTTATTGAAAATTTATAAGAATTTTCATGAAAAACTAAAAAAAAAAAACCATATTTTTATTATAGTTTTTGCATTAGAAACTGATTGTATAAGAGTTTCAATTATATATTTTATTAAATTGGGTGGCTGGCTATATTATAAAAAAGTGGGGAGATTTAATTTCCTATTTTATAAGTTTAACATTAATCTTTTAAAACACATTTTCTTTTTATGAAAATCTTAAAATTAATAAAACCTTTCATTGATAATTTTTTGAAAATTTCCACAATTTAAATAAATATGTGTCTATCTACCTACCTACATACATACACTAATTATATATAAGAACAACATATGTACGTAGATGTGTTGTACGTGCTTATTAAAACAAAGCCTTTTAATATTTTGTATTAATTACAAAAATCTAAATATTTTAAATATTTCATTAATTTCTTTTTTATTAATAACCCGAAAACAATTTTTTATTTTAAAATTAAGACCAAATAAATTTGCAATTTATTTTTATTTTCACATTTACGAATGTGAGAAATACGAATTGAACCTAACCTAATTTTTTTTTCTCTTTATAAGTACATATATGTACATACCTACATAATAATATAATATTAAAAAAATGACTTACCTTAAAAAAAGTTCAATTTTATGTTGAACAAATTAGAAAATTTTTAAAGCTAAAACTTTTTTTTTTAGCTATTAAATATTTTGAATTTTGTTGAATATTTTCATTGAAAAAATTATTTTATTTCTCCATAAATTTGCGCTGCAAATTTTTTCTTTCTAAGTTACCAAAGCCGCAGACTGATTACCTAAGCCTCCTTTTTTCTATTAATTTTTTTTTTTATTTTACATTAAGCTTATTCTGTTCTCTTTTTTTTTATTCTTTAAGTTTATTCTAAGTTAACCAAATGAATTTTTAAAATAAATTTAAAATTTTATTCATTTTGTCAATTTTGACTTTTCCCCAAAAAAAAAAAAAAAATTAATGTGTTGCGTTTTGAAAAATTGTCATTCTTTGAGGAATTTTTTTTAAAATTGAATATAAAATTTGATTTGAATTTGCTTTCAAATTACTACAAAACTTAATTAAAATTTATTTAACAAAAAAAAAAAATATTTGCACCTTTTTTTTTTTTTGAACAAAAAAAAAATATTTTTCACTTTTATTTTTCTTTTTTCTTTAGTTTTCACTTCATAAATATTAATATGTACGTCTATTCCTTGCCTAACCGGATAAAAGACTAAATACTAAAAAAACTGCTGCTCGCTGGCTGACAAGGCAATAGAAAAATGGCGCGGGCTTGTGTAGTTATTAAGAAATATATACATACGTATATGCATACTTATACATATATTAATCAGAAGTTTTTATTTATACACATGATTAAATGATTTGTAAAGGAAATTGTAAAAAAAATCATTTGAAATTCATTTTTTCCTTACGTTACATATTTCTATTTAAAATTTTATATATTAATGTAGTATTAACATTTTCATTATTACAAAATATTAAAATGAAACGCGACCGATATTTTGCAGTTTTCATCTTAAAAACGAAACGGTTAGCTTCAAGTTCAGCTAATATAATATTACATGTGTAGATGTGTGCATTCATATAAAACATGAAAAGTCAAAATTAATCATCCCTGCTACATTTGAATATGACATAAATCCAAAATACTGACAATCCTACATATGGATTGTGAAACGTCAAAATTTTTCAACTTTAATAAAAAAAAATATTTTAATATGACATAAATTTGATTTTTTATTATTAAAAAATTCCAACTTTTCAAAATTTATACGTTATAATTATTATGACTTCTAAACATATTAAAACTAAAACGCGTTTCATAAAATCTTAGCAATATTGTATGGAAATATTTTGAAAATATTCATGTGAGTAAATTATAAAAATTATTGAGTGAAATCTAATTAGAACGCGCGTTTTTTTTTGCATGAGAAAATTTAGATTTGTCAAAAAAAATGCGCTTTCGTTTTTCATCTTAGAGCTAAATGTTAATGTTTTTTTTTCAGATTTTACAGAACTCGTTATGTCAAACACAAGAATGAAAGTGTTTAATAAACAAACCTTATGACGCTTTTCAAGAAGAGAAACTCAAATTTAAAATTAAATTGTATTTCTAAATTTAAAGTATTTCTAAAATGACTGGATAAGTTATTTCGGGTTTATTTTTCCAAGCAGAGCTCTCAAATTACGAATTTTTTCATCTGATCTAATTTTTATAAGCGCACTTTTACAACTCTGAATAAAATCCGGCTCAATCTAAAAAATAAATGCTCAATTGAAATACTGAGTTGAAATACTAACATAATACTGTTGCTATCTTCCTAATAAGAAAATTTGTTCTGAAACGGCAACATTATAATATTTACTTTGAATTTTTGACATTTAAATTCTGAAAATATTATTATCATTACGTGTATATAATATTATAATTCACTGTCATTTGGTCATTTAGCCAAAAAACCATTAAGAGATCATATTTATAGAAACGTACTTAATCAGTTACTACTTTTTTATTAATACATGTGAGTGATCAGGGTAACTATTGTTACAAGTACTTGTTATGATAAATATATAAACCATAAGACAACCAGGACTTAGTATCTGTGATAAAAAAATTTGGGTAATTTAGAAAAACGAAACAAAATAATGAGTAAATTTTTCAATATCATTCTTGTTGGCTTAATATATTTTAATTCAATTAACTGCCAACTCAATACTGTTGAAGAAGAAGTCGATGCCAAGCTAGTTAAATGTGAAGGTAAAAATTGTCACATTTTTTTATATTGTTTTATATTATTTAAAGTTGTGATATTTATTTTAAAGCATTTGTATAAATAAATAGTAAATAATCAAAAACAAATATTGTTAATGAGGTTGTTAAATCCCTAAAAATTTATACATTATATTATATTAGTTAAACTATTTGTATTTTAATGTATAGTGTGTAAAGCTACTGTACAAGAAATTGAAAATGCTGTTTCAAAAGTTGATACTGGAAAAAAGGTTGATGTTGGGGGATTCAGAATTGATGCTCACGGAAATACAGTTTCTAAGAGTGTTCAATTATCAAAGTCTGAAGTATATTTGACAGAACTTATGGAAAAAATATGTAAAAGACTAGAGGATTATGCTAAAGTTAAACATAAAAAAACACATAAAATAGGAGTAATTCAAATGATGGTTGATGGCGCATTAAATGTTGATGTTTCATCGTGGGATTTTGTACAAGATGGCGATTTAAATAAAAGTTTAGAACATTATGTAAGTATAATACTAATATTTGTATAAGTTGCTTTCAAATAAAATGAGAATAAAATAATTCAATTTAATTTTTAGTGTCTGGAAATTCTCGATGAATTTGATGAAAGTTTTACTGAAGAGTTTATGAAGGAAACACTTCCTACAGATCTTGATTATAAATTATGTACAGAAAGAACTAAGTTGTGTAATGATCCACCACCACTTCAAGATGATTATAAATTAGAGGATGAATTATAGTAAGTTTCAAAATAGTTCAACAAGTAAAAACATCACTTTTACGTGCAATGAATTTAATTCGACTCCGTCAGCTCTATTGCCTTCGAATAAACCACCATATTTTTCTTTTTACTTTTATAAAGATAGATAATTTTATATTGCATACCAATGTCAATAAAAAAAAAAATAAATTATTTGGTTTTTCTTTTATTTTATTTTCACAGTAAAATATTTAATAATAATTATCCATAATTTTTCTGGATTTAAGCTAATGTTGAAACATTCATCTCTACCTGAAAATAGAATGTTACTTTAAATAAATTGGGCAAAGATAAAATTAAGAATTTTAATTGACAAATTAACTAGAAAATTGAGGGATGTATGTAAATATGTAGATATACATGTACATACAACAACGAGAACTTTGAATTAATACTGTATTATATTATATTTGAAATACGATAAACCTTTTGTACAAAATTTATCATAGAATCCAAGAACAATCATTGAATATTGTTAAGGTTTTGAAAGCACTTCAAAAAAAATTTGTATATATTGCCGTAATAATCGGCAAATTAATCAATGGCTTTTATATATTTTCATTCAGTTTATTTATTGGCTTTTACAAACTTATTTGTATTATTTATGAACACGTTTGAATAACCATCTTTAAAATTTAAACTTTTGTAGGATGTATGTATGCATACAATGTTTTCATATGTACATACATATATGTTATACATTATATTATGTATATATATAGCACTTTTCCTATGAAATATATTCATAATTTTTTTCCATTTATACTTACAGTTTACTTCTTAAGTAATTGATGTCTAAGAACAAGGAATGGAGCAGCCAATCCAGATCCGAAAAAGACCACAAAAAGTGCAGTGAATCGGTATCGGTTTTTAAGAGAGAAGGGTAAATTCTGAAATGAAAAATTGCTTTTTATTATGTAACCAAATTATGCATTTAAATTTTTACCTCTCCAATAATTCCACCATGAGATCCATGGCGAACAAAATTGCCTAATGATTGACGTACTAATAATTTACTTGCACTGCCAAGCATTTTTGTAATTTTTGTTAATTTTTTTTATGAAAATATATTTTGGAAATGTGATCGTCTATTTCCTAAGTTGGAACCGATTGCGAGTGATTGATTAATTTCTTCGTACAAAACGAATTGTCAAATAATATTTCTTTGAACTGGCAGCAACGAATACTATTGAATAACATCGAGACTCGAATAATACCAATTATTTAAACATCGTGCATAAGTAAACGCGATATGCGGCATGCGGTAGACATTTTTTCAAATTTATGTACCAAGTATATACAAACAGATCATTTTGTAAATATATACATACATACTTAGTAACAGGGTTCGTTTATTCAATATTCAGAAAATTAAGTTTTGTTAATATATGTATACATTTTTTGCTCATATGATAATATTTCTGGACGAAAGTTCGCTCTTTCACAATTTTTTTGATACTCATTATCACATGAATATCAAAATCACCGGCTTTGTCAACCGGCTTTGGCAATTTCTTCAAAACTAAATAAGAGTGCTTACGAGCACTCTTATTTAGTTTTGAAGAAATTTAAGGTTTTGATAACAAATGTCAAATTTTAATTAATGACATTTGCCAATTCGCTATTTGCCACATTAAGTTAATTTTCCATTTTTGGTTGCTAATAGGATATTTAAGATTTTTTTTTTGTAAATATGTTTAAAGCTAACTTTTTAAGAAATTGTATCAAGCACTATTGTGGAAAGTCGAGTACTTTCAGATATGTTCATATTAGCCAAGCCAATGTTATTGGGAATCCAATAGATAGCTCATCAGACGAGTATAAGGTATGAAATACCTTGATTTTTGGTGGTATTATTACTATATGTATATATATACTTATATATATTTATTTTTTATTAGGAAAACATGACCGAAATGAAGAAAGTAGTTACCCATCTTAGAAACGTAACAAGGTTCGCCCCAATGATGAGCATTAATAATTTGAATATTACTAATCTTAATTTATTTAAAGAGACGTATTAAAAGGTGGAGGAGCACATGCAATTGAGAGACATACATCTAGAGGGAAATTACTTGTTCGTGATAGGATAGAACGTCTAATAGATCCAGGAACAACATTTCTTGAGGTAAACATTTTTAAGTTTTTGTGAACAAAAAATAATTTGCAGATTTAAGTTCAGTGCCTTAGCCGGTTATGAACTCTACGGACAGGAAATTGTTAATGCTGGGGGTATTATTACAGGAGTAGGAAGAGTTTATGGGTAAAAACATAATGAAGTTCACTTAGTGCCCTTATTAATATTTTTCTTTTTAGAACGGAATGTGTTATTGTTGGAAATGATGCTACAGTGAAAGGTGGTACATATTATCCTATCACGGTAAAAAAGCATTTAAGAGCGCAAGAAATTGCACAAGAAAACCATTTACCTTGCATTTATTTAGTTGACTCTGGCGGAGCTAATTTGCCGCGCCAATCTGACGTGTTTCCAGATAAATTACATTTTGGTAGAATATTTTTTAATCAAGCAAATATGTCCTCAATGGGTATTCCACAAATTGCTGTCGTTATGGGCAGCTGCACTGCAGGTGGAGCATATGTTCCTGCTATGGCCGACGAAAGTATAATAGTAAAAAAGCAAGGAACAATATTTTTAGCTGGACCTCCATTAGTAAAAGCGGCTACCGGCGAAATAGTTTCTGCTGAAGAACTGGGTGGAGCTGATTTACATTGCAAAACGTCTGGTGTAACAGATCATTTTGCAACTGATGATGAACATGCTCTTTATTTGGCACGACAAACAATAAGAAATTTAAATCTACCTTCTTCAAATAATTATAATGAAAGTCTTCTTTATTCATCAAAGAATTTGTCAAAAAACGCAAAAGAAGGACTGGAAGACACGGAAGAGCCCTTATACGATGCCAAAGAGCTTTATGGAATAGTTGGCACAAATTTATTAAGAAGTTTTGATGTAAGAGAAGTAATTGCACGTATATTTGATGGCAGTAGATTTAACGAATTTAAAGCTATGTATGGCGAAACACTGGTTTGTGGTTTTGCAAAGTAAGTTTAACATAACATAAAATTGACTTAGAACTAATGTCTCGAAACGTTGAAGGTTGTACGGGAATTTAGTTGGAGTTATAGGTAATAACGGAGTACTTTTTTCTGAAAGTGCTCTTAAAGGAGCCCATTTTATTCAATTGTGCGCCAAGAGAAATATTCCTCTAATATTTCTCCAAAATATCACTGGATTTATGGTTGGCAGAGATGCTGAAGCAAATGGTATAGCTAAAAATGGAGCTAAAATGGTTACAGCTGTAGCATGTGCAAAAGTTCCTAAACTCACGGTCATAATTGGGGGATCATACGGAGCTGGAAACTATGGTAGTAAAATAATTGAAAAAAATTCTCTTTTAAAAGTCTAAAAGTGAGTTCGTTTTAGGCATGTGTGGTCGAGCATACTCACCAAGATTCTTATATATGTGGCCAAATGCTAAAATATCAGTCATGGGTGGTAGTCAAGCAGCAAACGTTCTGGCGCAAATTACCAAAGATCAATATGAACGAGCAGGAAAGACTTTTTCCGAAGAAGAAAGCAACAAACTTAAAGCACCAATAATTGAACAATTCGAAACAGAAGGTTCCCCATATTACAGCTCCGCAAGACTTTGGGATGATGGAATCATTGATCCTGCTGATACTAGAAAAATTTTGGGCTTAAGTTTGAACGCTGCTTTAAATAATGCCTCCGAAAAGACAAATTTTGGAATTTTCCGTATGTAATAAAAATTACGTTTTAAAGCCAAAAAAAAAATATCTTATGAGAAAAAGTGCATTTACTAGGATTTAGGCTAGTGTTACTGTAAACAATACATTGTTTTTTAAAAACGTTATTTGCAAGTTTATTTTTGATAACAATATTGTACATATTTAGATAAAATATAATACATATTCGAATTATATGCATGAATAATATTTAACTGATCTTAAAATAGGATAATAATAATCGACTTAAAGTTTTATCGAACAGTAATCGAATCACATCTTGGCATTTAACAAAAAAAAAACACCTTTTTAGATGCAATTAATTTTCTTTAACCAGGAAATCTCGCCGTGTTATAATTCCCGAAACTACGTTATCCTTGTTAACAACAATCATATGACGTAGAGCAAGAGCTCTAAATATTCCAAATATTCTAGGAACAGAATCACACTAAAATATCAAATAGTATTTTTTACTCATTATAAAAACTGGTTATGTATTTCTCTTTACCTCATTGATTCTAACAGGAGATGGATTTAAAAATATTTCCATGTTAACAGTGAAATCCTCTTTATCGTGCCTATTGAATTTTACGTCCTACGAAAAGACATAAAATAAATAAAGTACAAGTGCATTTAAAATTTTATCATGTTATTATACCTCTATTGATGGAAATCTAGGGTAGTAGTTTCGGAAGTCTTGAATGTTTACTACTTTTTCCCATGACCGTCTATTTTCTTCAAAATATCCTTGAAGTAAAATTACAATTAATTGATACCTCAAAATTATTCCACATAAGCGACCATTTGTTCGATTGTCCTATAATATTATTGAAATAATTTTTATATTGTGCTTGTTAAATATACAAACAACGTGCATTCACTCCGTATTTTACGATTTCAGTTTTCGGAGTGAGGAGAATGTATTAAATTGGAATTTTTATTTTTATTCTTTTTGTTTATGTCTTGTTCGTCATGTAGAAATGACTAAACATCAACTAAACTAATTTCTTTAAAACAAAAAGACGGGAATTTGCATTTATTTTATATTTTTGAGAAAAAAAAACACGCTATAAAAAGGAAAATATTCTTCTCACTTTGAAATTATATTACACCACGACTAATTGAAAAAAAGTAAGACGCAGAGTGAAGCCAAAATTTCAACAAATTATTTACCCCATCTATTTTTTCAACCACTGGAAATCCATTATGTTTGCAATTTTTTAGAACTTCGTAAATATGTCTTGCTTTTTCTTTCATATTAAAACATACCACATTTCGACTCATAATTTCCTCCGCGTTAACCCCATCAAAAATTTTTGGTGGATCCCATGTTAACATTGGTACATGATTTACTTTAATATGACTATCATATATTCCTTCATTGAAGTAATCTCCTATCCATTTTGCTGTCACAAGTGTAATAACTAATGGAAATGTAAAGGAGGTTTCAACACCTGTTGTTTCAATTAAAATAACACTTAAACCTGCAAAAAGATCAAATAGTGTTTATGAAAAATAAACACTATAACCAAATTAAATATAACCAAAGTATAATTTACTTATTGTCATTCTTAATACTCCTCCAAGTTGTGCAGCAGCTCCAATAAGAGCATATTTACCTGGAACAAGAAACCCCTAAAAATATGTATGAGTAATTATTCATTTGAAATTTATTCATTAGAGTTTGTTTTACAGCTTCCGGAAAAAAGTAGTATATTAACATTCCTAATAATCGTCCCCAAGCAGCTCCTGTAAGTACCGTAGGTATGAAGATTCCAAGGGAGACATTTAAACCGTAAGTTATGCATGATAAAATGAAGTATATAACAAAAAATATTGCTAATGTAAAGATTTTATGTGATCCTGGTGGATCATGTAATAAAGATTTAACCGTTGCTTCTGGAGTTTGAAACCAGAGGGCAGCAACAACATTATACTCCGTATCTTCACAAAATAATTGCACAGGATACTCGGTTGGATCATTTCCAAGGGGACGACAATCGTTAATTAGGTACATCATACATGCTGCGGCTGTAACACCAATAGCAGCAACAAATCCAGCTTCTACTACTTTTGCCCAACTTTTTTGTATAAATCGAGCACGAAAACGATTTACTTTAGTGTTAATTGAATTCCAGGATGCTCCAAACAAACCACCAATGACTCCCATCAAAATAAATATAGGTAATTCAAAATATTCAAAATGCAAAGATTCAAATTTTCCCAAATTAAAAAGACCATTGAAAGTGAAATCTTGCAAACCATGATATGCTGATAAAACCAAACTAAGAGTAAAGGAACTGATAGTTGATGCTATCAAAGTTCGTAAAATTAAGTTCTGATTCCAAAAACTAGCTGCTTCTTCTAATGAAAATAAAACACCTCCAATAGGGGCACCGAAAGCAGCCCCAACCCCAGCAGCTGCCCCGCCTAGTACAAAATCTCGTTTTTCATGATCATCACGAAAATATTTAAAAACATTTAAATCACGGTTAAGAGTTGTACTCTTTCCTTGGGAAACTCCAGCTGCAACAACAGCTCCAGCATGAATCATTGGTCCTTCCTAAAATTAATTTTAAATTTAAAATTTAAATAAACTAGATACCTATGTTCATTATATTACTTTTCCTCCTGCAAGTCCCCCAACAACAGATGTTACAACACCAAAAGCTTTCACTATTAATGTTTTAACCCTAACTATTCTAGGTACTTTGACTCCATTCAAATAACATTTAACAATGGGAATTCCACTACCAGCGGTTATTGGTTCTATATATGTTACTGCCGCCGCTCCTATCATTACTGGAATAATACTACTGAGTAGCCAATATATATATGGTACAGTTAAATTTCCAGCAAGGATATTTGAATCTACCGCTGTAATACATAACGTACATATAATTTATATGACAGAAAAAATGAGATTTACTTTTTCAATAAATTATCAAACTAACCTCTCTTCAAAGCATCGTATTTATAACCTGAGAATTTTTCTATTACAACATCTATAGAACATGCCACTAGCGCGGTTAATATCCCAATTATAATGAAAATGAGTAAACGGGCGAAATTCTTTCTTAAAGTAAATCTAGCAGGTGGGGTTTTCTGGTCCAATCTCCATAATTTATTTTCACACACGTCATAATCTAAACTCTAAAAAGAAACAATTGTACTTTAATTGTTAGTACCTATGCATAATATGAAAATTAAATAGCATCTAAAAAAATAATATAATTATAGATACCTCGTATATTGAAGATGCGGGATCATTTATTTTCCTTCTTCTTAGATTGGTTTCCTCTTCATTTTCTTCGTTAACTGAAGTTTCACCAACATTGATTAATAACTGAGGTTCCTTAAAAAGAGGAAAATATTTATTATTGTACGAGTACTCTACTGTATTAGAATTCCTAGACCGTGTTTCGGAAATATAGAATACTAACTTTTGAAATCATAATAATTTTAAACCACTTACATTATTAGAACCTGATGGAATTTGGTGATCTATTAATACATTATCATCGTCTTCTAATATATTATCTTCATCTTTGTCATTATTAGCGACACTTTCGAACAATTTTTTGTCTTTCATGTTTTAAGTCTAAGTGGTAATACTTGTATAAATTATATTCCGGGAAATATGTATGTATGTATGTATGGTTTCCATTAACTTTTATAATGTAAAGTTTGAGATTTTACTTTTTTTTTTAAATTTTAGCCTCCATGCAAATTAGGAAATAAACATGTTAAAATCCTTTTAAAATTTGTAATATATAGCTACTTTCTAAGTTGTGAGATAAGTACATATTATAAAATTCTTAATACAAAAGCAATTGTTCTATTGTTGCTTTGTCTAATGGCGCTGCAATATTCAGTGATTCCCCTTTTAATCAGTTTCCTTTAAATTGAATTTGAATTGCACATGTGGACTCTGTCATAAATTGGGAATGTTTCTTTTTTGTTGATCGTTTATAATAAAATAAAAATTTTGTTGAAATAAAATTTTAAATTAAAACTTAAAACTTAAAAATTTTAATCAAAGTTATGATTTGTTGATTCACTATTTTAATGATTGTACATTGTCTGACAATAATTGAGTAACAGTCAAGATTACAGTTGCAATTTGATGTTTTCTTATCAGGGATGAGTAGAGCCAATTTTTTGCCAGTTCTGCTCAACTGCGCACAAATATGTCGTCATCGGCTAAGAAATAAAACATAATTTAAGGTTTTGAGTAAAACGCATTTGAAATTTTAGACTGCAGCATAAATATTTTACACAATAACTTTGTTATGTGTCTTTAACTTCTAATTGTCATATTTAAACATTTTCTTTCATTCTCTGTTCGTTTATTTTTTTTGTTGTAAAAACCAAGTTGCAATGCAATTTTTAGCTAATTCTTTAATCTGCCTTTGCTGTAAGAATTACTTATGTTTTCCATTTACTGTTTTCAACACGTAAAATTGTTAGTTGACTAGATAATCAAACATTTGATGGTTGAAACATGGTTGAAGAAAATATTACATATTTTGATATTTATAGGGGTAACTTTCGAGTACTCTACCTTTCTATGTTATATCAATATTACAAAATAAAATAATGATAATATTAAAAATTCATACATATTATGAATTTTGCAAAAAACGGGTATGTATAAGTTTTTGAAAATTATTGCAAAAACAAAAATTTTATAAAAGTTTTAAAATTTGAATCGTTTATTTTTTTATTATTTTTTTTTGTGTAACATGTATTTATTTTCTGAATAACATTTTAAATAACGCTACAATCAATGAACGGATATATTTTTTGTGAAACACGCAAATTGTTAAAAATTATTGTGAAATGTTAGGTAAAAAAACAAAATTATAATATAGAGGGGCTCCAAATATCTGACAAATCAAGATATCTCTTCAAGATTGGCACAGCTGTTGGCCTTTTCATTTTTATAACATGAAATTTTTTTCAAAAATTTACAAAATGACAAACTGTTAAGTTACTGTTATCATAAAATATTAACATAAAAGAGTGTTAATAGAAAATACGTATCACAAATACATGTTACAATATCTATTGTAATATTTTGTAAACATCATGTCAAAAACAAAAATAAATTATGCTAAATTTTTTTTTTCTGAATAGTGCCTAAGTATTAAAGACTGTCTAAGTGTTTGATTATTATTGAAAATTTTGTATCCCCTTTTCAGGTTGTTTTTCTTCTAAATTATTCCCAACGTTTCTAGAATTAAAGGACTAACCTAATAATAATCGATATTATTGTTACCATTATTATGCTTATTTAGAGTACCCGTTTCGCGTCATGGCATAAGTTTTATGTTGCTTGTCTAAAAATCTAGTGCGAAAGGGAATATAACGTAATGTCAACCATTGACACAAACGTCGCATAAATGCAGGTATACAGATATTGTGGTGTGCACATATAAGACAAAATCTATGCAAACATAACAAGGTGAAAGTATCTGATGTGTCAGAGCTTAGATTTAAGATCAAATATAATTTTTACAAAAATTGTAACTAAAATAAAAATTAACTGATCTCTGTTTAAAACTGCCGCAAAAAATTGCGCCATTTTCAAATTGCTATGAAATCATTTGGCGCAAGCATTACGCGTTATGCGTCCATCGAAGTAAATGCCATTGCATTTGAGTCTGTTGAAAGCTGTTAATTTAAATACTGTTTGACTTCACACATTTTCTGAGAGCATATAAATAATAGAATTACAATATTGTCATCAGGCTTACAGTCAACTTTTTTAAAAGCGAAATGACAATTAATTTTTTTTAGAAAGTATGATACAGCGGTCAGCTGATTTAATTTTAATACATATTAGTCTTAGTAAGAAAAGGCGACCTCGCCAGTCACCCCTGCAAAACTCATGCGCTCAAGACATTAAGATGTCCCTTCGGCAACCCTAAAATTAACATTCGACAACCCCCCCTGCAATGTAAATCATAAATACCGTCTACTGGAACCAACCTCCTTAGTGAATCTCAAGAGCCCGCCCAAAGATTCACCGACAAATTCGCAAGGCCATCATAAAGGAAAGACCCTAGAATGGGTTTTTCATTTCAACATCTAGATTGGTAAATAACAATGGAGAAAAATTTTCATGCAGTAGATAGATTTTAGATAAAAATTTCAAAAGAATCAAAAGCAGATTTCAAAGAAAGCACCTGATTTTTTTAAATATTACAGTTTGAAAAGTTGATATTAATTAAAAAAAAACTTATTCAAAAAAACTACAAATTTAGTCAGAAATTTTTTATTTAATATTTTCAAAAAAAATACATATAATGTATTTTATCGACATAAATTCAATATAAGTATCGACAAAAATTCATGATAAACTAAATCATTAATATATGTACATACATATGTGCTATTCAAAATATCCCAGAATATTCTTCAATATTCGATTTACAACATATTAGCATAATATCATAAATTTTCTTTAACACAAATTTATTCTTTGGAATATGTAGTAAAATTGCAATAATACCCGGTCATTAGCCTCTTTTTTTTTTTAACTTTTTGTTTACTATTTTATCATTTTTCTCGAAAATACGAGGAAATGCGAGAATTTTCGATTTTAAAATTCATTATTTTAATAACATCATACAACATACATTTACATACAGAAGCGGCAATGCATATGTCATGTAATTTATTTAACAGAAAATAAAAATAAAATGTTATTTTGAAAAAACGTTATCTTGTAGCGAACTAGAGAAAGTATAAATACTCGAAATATTTTAGTGCCTCTTCAGTATTAAATTAGAAATCGCAGAAAGGAAAAACTTCAAGGAGTTAATCCAATAATAAAAATAAAATAATTCTTGTTTGTTGTACCGGTGAAAATTACAAAGAAAAATGTCTTTAATTCCATTTTTATTGTCAAATTCATACGATTTGGTTGATCCTTGGGAATTGAGGAGACATTATTCAGGCAGACATCGCCAAATTTCACCATGGGATCATTTTGGTTTAGGAATAACACCAGCAGAAATTCAATTATTATCAGCTATTCCATCCTTATTGACAAATGAAACTGATGGGTTAACTAAAAAATTGGAGTCAAATTTACCACAACCCGTTGTCGGTAAAGACGGATTTCAAGTTCATATGGACGTTCAACAATTTAAGCCAAATGAAATAACTGTAAAAACTGTTGATGATTATATTGTAATTGAAGGCAAACATGAAGATAGGCAAGATGAACATGGTTACATATCGCGCCATTTTGTTCGAAAATACAAGCTGCCAAAGGGTTACAACAGCCAACAAGTTGTTTCATCTTTGTCTTCAGATGGTGTTTTAACTATTAAGGCTCCGTTACCAAAATCGATTGAAAACAGCAATGAACGAGTTGTCCAAATTCAACAGACTGGACCTGCTCATTTAAGCGTAAAAGAAAATAAACCAGAAGAAAAATAAATTTTTTTTCTTTTTAAATTGAATCCTATATTCCAAGTGTTTTAAGTAAATTACTTGCGACTGAATTTAAATGTTTTTTTATATTTTAATCTTTATGTTTTTTTTGAAGTACCTACACACATATTTAATAAAGTTTTGATTAACTTAAAAATAAAAGAGTTTTTAGTATTATTTCATCTAATGATCCTAAATTATCAATAATTCTTAAATACAATATAAGATTTTCAGAATATATTACTCCAGCCGGGTTTTGAAATGCATAAGTTTAGTTGATTTGACTTACAGTATGGAGTAAAGAGTTTTCGATGGTTCTAAGCTGTTGCTTAGGATAAAAAGATTTTACATATTTGCAATTTTTATAAATGCACTTTAATACACAAATCTTATCCTTTAGCAACTAACAAAAAGTATGAAGAGAAGATGCTAGTGATTTTGAAGAGAAATGGCTTAGTGGTAAAAAATTGTTGAATCATTGCAAGTGGGATACTACTTTCTTAAAAATTTGCTTTTATATATGTATACATATATACGTAGGAAATTATCCTACATATATACATATATTTAAATTACATAAGATGAGAAGTGAAAATATGAGCCCTAGATAAATATGTTTATCATTTAGTGGAAATGTAATTTTATTATCGTTATTGGCGTTTTACCATTTAAACTAATAAAAATGAAATTTAAAAAACAAAACCTAAAGCATGAATTAAAAGTACGAACTAAAGAGGATATTAACGTTGCAACAATTCTAGATCAATTCTGACCAATTTAAAAAAATACCTTGATCTAGAAGAACAAATAGTTTTTTTTTTAGAAGAAACTTAAATTTTCAATTGCTTCACTACACCGAATTTATAAAAATTTAATGGCTGCCAATTTAATAAGTTTTTAGTGTTAAGATTTAGGGGCCAAAAAATTAAAATGCTAACATAATTGTATGTTGGATGTGTGACTAAACTAAGATTAAAGGAACTTAAAATTAAATAATCTATATACGGGTACTTACATACATACAAATAAGAATTTTAGATGAGATTACTTTAGAAAATTTCCCGACTTCACAATTTTAATCTCCCGCTTATTTTGTATTATGCATCCCGCTTTTTTAAAAATATGCAAAATTTAGTCACTTAGTTTAGGCGGCGTTATAAGTTCTGATATATTTGTTATAATTGAGGGAAAGAGAATTTCAAATCCAGAAATATTTTAAACAGCAACCGAAAGTGCGAGATACATACCGAGTCTAATTATTTTAATTTTTTTAAGTTAACAATTTGTCATCCTTATAATTTCATAAATCATCTGCAATATATGTACATACAATGGACATACATATATACATACATATATACAGTTCTCCCCGGTTAAATGCACCACGCTTAATTGATTTTCCCCTTTTATTGAACGAAAAACTAAGGCAACTTTAAATCCCTATTAAAATATACATGAATAACATCGTTTAATTGAGTCCCGTTTAATTGAACAACTCGCTTAAATGAATCTCTTTTTTTGGTATTACCTTATAAAAACTGTGAAAAATTCCCCTGTTTATTGACCTGATAATTTGTTTTTATTTTTGATATGAAATATTTATTTTTAATTTTTGTTATGTTATGTGATATAAAAATATTATGGTTTACATATTTTGAATTTGAATTCACAGTTACATTACTTAGATGGATTTAAAATGATGAAAAATTTAAGTTTTAAAATTTTGAAATAAAGAAAAATTTAAGTTTTTAAATTTTGAAATAAAAAAAAATTTAAGTTTTAGTATTTCATTAGTGTATCCCCTATTTTAAATATAGCTTTTTACCTAGGATATTTTGATAAGTATATGTAATAGGATATGCTTCCTATTGTTTTTATTAATTTTATGCAGTAGCAGGATCAAATTCGTTTTTGCGCCTGATCTTCAATAGCGAGTACATATTCGTTTTCATGCGTAAACGATTCAGTTAAAAAAATTCGTTTTATTGCACCAATTGTTCAATTAAACGGGATTTTTTTAATTGATTTACCCGCTTAATTGATACAAAAAGTGTGCAACTTTTCTCGGTTCAATTAACCGGGGAGAACTGTATATATATATGTATTGTATGCATCATCTATCTCATAAATTTTATAAATGGCAACGTAATTTAAATTATATTTTGGGTAATAAATAATTACAAAGCCAGGCAGATACACATATGCATGTACATATGTTTGTATTAATGCGGATTATACTGCTATTAATTTTATATTTCTTTATCTTTAACATTGTTTTTGTATACATATATAAACTAAAGAAAAATATATTCAAAATCCAAATTAAAGCTTTGTTGACGTTGTAGGTAGGTAAAGAGAGTTGTTGTAACTAAACAGATGTCATTTATAATGCTGGAGTTCACAAAATTCTATTCAAAGATATCAATAACTTAAATTTAAATATAAAACTACGAAAAAAAGTAAGTAGTACAACACACTTACTCAACAAAATTAAAAGGTACTACGTTCTAATTTAGATCTTAATAATTAAATATTATCATATATCAAAACAGCAAAACCTTCAAGTGTTGCATGCTCAAATTCTTCAATTCCAAAAAGAAAGAAGCACGTCAAAAATCGCAGCAATGCTAAAGTTCTAAAGCACTTTTAAAGATTTTTGTTTCCTGTTACATAGGAAAATGTGGTATTAAAAATCTGAAAAGGTAAACTAGTTCGTGTAGATTTGTAATGATGATTGAAAAAAAAGGATTTTTTTTTATTTAATTTAGAACTTTAAGTGCATACACCTATATGAATTACCGAAAATCCCCATAAACTAATAGAAACTAATAGAAAAAGGATCTAAATTTCATGAAATTCTCAAAATTAGCACTGAATACAATTTTAGTATATTTGCCTGCAAAATCAATTTTTGAATAAAAAAGTTTAATATATATTTTAAACTTATTTTATTAAACAAACATTAAATTATTAATATAAGCCAGTCTTACTTTATCATTCAAGCTACAATTCAAATAATGTAGTATTAAAGACATTAAATTTAAATTATATAATCTAATCAAACTTTAAAGTGTCTCTAATACACAATATTATAATTATTACAAACTATGAGTACATATATAATGAAAATTGTTAAAATCTTATTTATTATTGTCTTTTTCCTTTTCTGGTGTTTCTTTACGATGTAATTCACCAGTTTGCTCTATTTTAACAACACGTTCATTATTTTCTTCAAGCTTTTCTAATGATGGTGCTTTAACTGTTAAAATTCCATCAGATGATAATGTTGATATTAAATCTTTAATATTACAATTTTCGGGTACTGTATATTTTCTAATAAATTGACGTGATATTAAACCATTTTCATCAGGACGTTCTTCATGTTTTCCTTCAATTACAACCGTATTTCCAACTGTTTTAACTGTTACTTCATTTGGTTCAAATTGTTGAACATCTATACTTAATTTGAATCCATCTTTGTCAACGATTGCTTGAGTTTCCATATTATTTGAGTTATTTTCGGCTACTCTCATACCACTAAATGTTGGAAAAGGATTTGAGAAAAACTTTATTTCTTCTGGTGTAAAAAATCCTTTCATCATAACATTATCATCACGTAAAAAGTGACGCAATATTTCATTTTGTTGGCGCAATTGCCAACCCATTGAACGTAACATTACTGGTAAGAATGACATTATTAAATATTATAATTTTCACAATAGAACTCCAATTATTTCTTTGATTTTAATATTTTTTTTGAAAAATAAATCCAATTTTAAAGTACAAAGCAAAATATCGCTCGTTTCACTTTATCTATTCGAATTTCTGAAATTAACTGAAGAAAACGAAATGTTCTTAATATTTATAAGAAAAATATTAACAGGTAATTTACAGATAACATAAAATTTCTGTTTTTCTATTTCACATTTTACATTTATATTTCTACATTACAATATAACATTCGTACAAAAAATATTTTTGCTAAAGAGATAACATTAAAAAATTCCATTAAATTACAGCTGTTAAAAATTTTTACATGAAATTTTTCGTTCTTTAAAAAAAAAAACAACCAAATTTTGAAATTGAGAATTTTTGGGAAACTTCAAGATATTTCGAGAAATAAATCAAATATTAAAAAAAAACTAATTTTTCTATTTTTATTTTTATGATTATTAGTTTTTCACATCATTTTTGTTATTCATTGCATGCACTTACTACATACGTACGTATATTATTGCCATTGCGATAGATATGTATGTAATGAGTACTCTATATAATGTTATGTTAGTTTAATGTTTGACTATGTTCAAGTTTCTTTATTCCTGTCCTGTCTATATTTGTCAATAAAAATTTAATGCATCTATGAATATTAAGTGTGCAATTATTTGATTATTTTCACAATTTTTTTGAAAACAAGTTTTATCAAATTTAAATATGCATGTATGTAATTTAAAGTAACGTGAATGCTAACGCAAATGACCTAATCAAAAGAATACTTTGCCACATTGTCGCAGCTTTTGTTCTTAGGAGAAAATTATCAAGTCATACTAGATCCGGGACAGCGATTCAATGGCATACGTGGTCGCCCACAAAATCTATTTGACTTCCTTTCAGTGAACCTATTTAGAAATATGATTAGTAAGGTTAAGTTCAAACTTGCAATCCTAATTTAAAACTTTAGCTGCAGTTTGATTTTATTGTACTGTACTGTAAAAATCAATTTATTTTAATTTAGAGCTTTGCAAAATTCTATAGCATGATTTGCAGCAAAACAATTTGGTTATATAAAATTGGTGCAACATTTTATTTATTTTTATTTTGATCGTATTTGGTTTGCTTTTTTCGCCAGTTTTCAGTTTTGACGTTATACTTGCAAATAAACCTCCTCTTGTAATAGTTCTTATTGACTGGTTTTTCTAAGGAAAATGACAGGAAAATCATTGCATATACTACTACTTAAGTTTTTAGAAAATCCTTTGATTTTTGAAATTTTAAAAATAATATTGGAGCATAGGTGCAATAACTTTTGTATGACATATTTTCTGAAATGATGAAGATTCTTTCGATGCACATACATACATATGTATGTATGTATGTATATTGATCTTATTATATGAAAGATCAATTATTCGGAAATTTTCTAGAATTAGCTGAAAATTCTTTTCGATGAATTGCAAATTACGACGAAAGTAAAATTTTCGTATATTCTATATTATATTCGAAACTTCATAATATAATAAATTGCCTTAAAGGTTAATGAACGCAAAAATAAACAAAAACGTACCGGCTTTTGCATTCATATACTCACATATACATGGGTGTGTAAAAACATCGATATATTCATATACATTATATATATATAAAATAATGTATGTAATTGACAAACACTCATATGATTCAAAAAATACGAAACCAAGGTCTGCAAATATTATAAATAACAGAAAAATAACATAACGTTATTCAAAATTTAATTAACAGAATAAGAAATAACAACATTATTGAGACAATTAACATTTAGCAGCAATCAAAAAGCGATAGACAAGATATTATCTGTTAAAAATTTTACATGTTTAGAATCTTTAGAAAAAAATTTCACCATTTACTTTTATTTTTCGTCATAAAATTTTTAATCTAAAATTAGGGATGATTCGATCCAAGTATTATGTCTGATACTTTTTGTTAGAAAGCAACTACTCTTGATATCGATACTTTCGTGATCGAAAGAAGTTTTTTTGATTTAGTCATTAATTAGTTATAACTTTTGCATTAATGGTTCATTTCAAAACTAATTTTGTGGAGAGATTTTTTTGAAGCACATTTTCGACACAAAGTATTTTTGACAATAGATAAAGAAAAGTTGTACACTGAACTTTTGAAAATTGTTGTATTTCATTTTTTGAGTTTTGCTATAAAAAAATTAGTATATATTCTTTATAAAATTCCCTAGGTTAAATTTATTGAAAATCCTCAATATACACCACTTACTTATTCTATACGCAAAATTAATTTAGGAGTAAAAATTTTAACTTTTTAAAGAAAAGATTAATTAAATGATCATCCTTAAATTTTTAAAGGCAGAAAATCAAAATATCATTGACCGTTCAACAAAATATGTTTTATTGCGAATATGTAACTCAACATGAAGAACATTAACAAAAGCAAAAATGGAATATCCGAAATATTTTGTGGCTTTTGCTTTCAATACCTGAACTGTTTTAATTTTACCCCGTAAGGCTTCACTAAACATTATCAATGGATTTTGTTTGATTTGGATAATAATTTGATGAAAGTTGATTGTGTCAACGTTTGTCTAAAGAGTTGAAAAGATTTTCTTATGACATCAAATTGGGCTAAATGACATCAGATCAGCTTAAATATGACAACAAGTAAGATTTCTTCTGTACTACCATGCGAGAGATTTTTGTTTTTTTTTTCATAAGTTTTTGTTTTTAAAACCACTTTTGTGTCATTGTGTTTTACTTTTTAATATCATTTTATAATTTTTTGTTCTAAACGTTATTTTTTGTTTCCTTAATCAAAAAGTTGACAAAAGCTTTTGGAACAAAACTTTGATAATTGTCCATGAAAAAAGTTGTATGGGTAAACGTTTCTTAATTGTATAATTGTAAAAACATGATCAAAGCGGTGAACGCCAACGTCGGATGATTTTCGCTGTTAAGGCAAAACAATAGCTGAAAATCAATGGTGCAGTATTTTGAATATAAAGTCACACTGTGACTCACATAGAATTGGAAACAGATAATGCCAAAAAAAAGCTCATAAGGCGGTAAAATGGTCCCATTTATGTGTATATGAATTCTGACATTTCGCCACGGAAAATCGCTATTGTTCTGTTTTCAGCTTAATTGTAACATTCTTAGTTTTATAAAAGGTAAAAAAATCTGCATAAATTATTGAAGTCATATAAACATACTTTTGATTAACTGCATCCATTAATGAAATATTATGTAATTTATTATTCACGAATTAACAAAATATTAAAAAAAAAATATTTACTTTATTTGGCAATGTTGTTAATAATATGCGTTTTATTAAAATTGGATTGTCAAAACAAAAATGTCAATAACAAGATTACGACGATTTTTGGAATGTCATTTAATATTATCGTAACTTAATTCGTAAATAAAAGAAAAACAACAAAATACATATCATTTTCATATACATACATACATGGGTACATGTATGAATATGACAAACAATCTTCTCAAAAAGTCATTTACTTTGAGTTTTTATAAAAAATTTGTAGAGATTTTGTGTAGAAAGAAGATTTTATAATCCTAAAATTTTAACATAAAAATAATATAGATTTTTATTACCAAATAGAAATGAAATTATTCTTTAATAAATTTGTGTTCGATTCTCAAGATTCAGACTAAAGAAAGAGTTGAAAAAAAAAATTTAGAATATTAGTATAAAAGCCGTAAAAATGTTTTTTACGTTGAAATTTTACTGCAAATGGCTATATTTGAAAGGAAAATTGAACGCAAAATAAAACTAGATGATACTCAGTGTATATCTTGTTATATTGAAACTGCACAAACAGTTAATAATCACACGGTAAGGGCACATAAATTTCATTTACAAGCGAAAAAATAAAAAGAAAATTTTACAAATGAATAAAATTATTTAGTGTTTTTGTGAGTGGTTTTTTTTATCGCTTACTCTTTCATTGGAACAAATACTAATTAATTATAATATTATAATATAGACTTGAAAATAACATATCTAATTTTTTAAGTGATAAGTGCCTACTTACATTATATAAAATTAAAGAAATTTTAAAAATTTATCAAAATTTGATAATTATCAATTTGATTATACATTTAAAAAAAAAAACCAGCATTTGAAAAATATTGTGTCCCTTTTATTTTTTTTTTTATAAATACATAGGTACATAATACATAATGTATAAATGGGATTTTTTTTTTGAAAACTGATAAAAATCAATAATTTATGACTAACATCATCATAATATAGTAAGAACCTTTTTAATATAAATTTCAGTAATATAAGGTTATATATAAGTATGTATATATGTATATATATAGTTGTACACATAATTATTATAATAGCCAATATAATTTTTATAATATTAATATAAAATTAATGTATATAAAACAAAATAATCATGATTATTTCAACGTTTTTATTTTGTAGAAAAAAAAAAAATAAGAATTTTCAATTTTGAGTTTTTTTTTTTTTTTTTTTTTTATATATATATGTAGGAATATGTTATTAGAGTTCAAAGGGGACCAGTTAAAGAGAATTCTTGGAGAATATTAAGACGTTATAATGAATTTGCTAAACTTAACAAAGAATTTCAAATATCCGGCATACAGTTGTCGTTTCCTGGAAAACGTATTATTGGTAACATGCACCCAGATTTTATAGCTGAACGACGTAAAGCATTACAAGAATTTTTAAACGAAGTCCTAATGAATCCGATATTGGCCTCGTCGTTACCTACAAAACGGTTTGTTGACCCGGATAGTTATTCTCAATCATTTCATGGTAATTTTTCTTTGTTTTTTTGATTTAATTTATTTACCGTAGATACATGTATTTAGGACTTCTATATTCGATATATTTAGGTATAGAGAAAATTAAATAATGTGGATATTAACCTTAGTGAATAATAAATTTAAGTAGGTACCTACCTACCTACCCAAATATAAATTTTTTATTATTTTTGTAAATAAATGTAGGTATAATTTATATCCTTGTTATTATTGATGTTAAATTAGGATTCGATATTAAATTTAGTATGTATGTATTTAAAATACTTTAATTAAATATCAAAATAAATAACTAGGACCTTTTACATAGAAACGTTTTTTTAACTCATGCAATAGAAATTTTAAAGAATTTATTCTTGTATTACGAACCTTTTTCATATTATAATGTACAGACTATTATTGCTTACTTGAAATAAAATGAAAAACGTTGCTTCTTAGTTTAAATATTGTTCTTTATAAAATATTGGAATTTTGCAAATATTTGCCAAAAACAAAAATTATTAAATAATAAATAGTTATTTCTGAATACCTGATATCCTTTTCATCAAACATGTGAGGAAAAATACTTGGTAATTTTTTTAAATTTAAAAAAGAAAACAATGTTTTTTAAATATTCTATATTTCATTGAGTGTTAAATTAATTTCTTTCACTTTTTTATTGACTAGTATCTTAACTGAAATCCCGGACGTTAGAAAATAGAGCTAAATTATATAAAACTACTGAAAATTTCTGTTCTTTCCAGAAATTCTGCTCTTTGCTAAATAAAAGATCCTAAAAAATTTCGATTTAATGAATTATTTATAATAGCAAAAGAAAGTGATTACTATTTACTATGGTTGTCATTTGGCAAAAATATTTACGTGAATTACTATATTTAGGTAAATATTTTATCAGTTAGTTCTGTTAGCGATTTACGTCCTGAAAAACTGGATATATGTAAATAATATGTGTTATAATTTGCTGAATAAATTTCAAATAATTTAGATAAAATAATAGATTTTTTTTCTAATTAAAATTCTGTAGTTTGGTAGAGTTTTGTGATAAAAAAAAATAGAGATTTTTCAAAATATTTTGAATTCAATAAAAATATTCTAATCCCATTAAAACCCCATTTTTATTTAATATTTTTATAAAAAAATTACTTAAATTTAGATAATGCCGTTCAGGGAGCATCATTATGTCTTCGCACTGATGGTCTCTATACTCTTGGCCAATCAATGGGCCAAATAGGCTGGAGATTACGTAAACATTATTTTAAAGTAAGTCCAAAACCACCACAAGAAAAATCGTCGCTTGGTAAACATTTGGTAAAATCAAGTTCTCAATCAAACCAATCTAAAAATCAACATCAACAAAATACAAGCAGTCATCAATCGTCTACTAGTGGAAGTTGTAATAGCAGTAGCAATGTAACAGGTACCGGAAATTCATCAAACAATGGAATCAGTGGCACATCTCATTCTGGAAGTAGTAGTAATCAGCAAACCGAATTGGTTCTAACATGGACTGAATATGGTCCTGATAAATATATGGAAGAAAAAGAAATTCATAGTGTTCTTAAAAGTTTATCATCATTACAACATTCATATATTGAACCAATTTTATTTAGTGGATGCAATGACAGCGGTGCGCTAGTAATTAGAAAGTAAGGAATTCAAAGAAATCAGGAGAAAATATTTTATTATACTTTTTCTAATTTATTTGCAGATTTCATGGACAAGGAACTCTAAAGGATCTAATTTGCTTATCTACACCAAAAAAAGCTTATTTAAGTAAATATGGGAGTTGCAAAAATCGTGTTGTATTGTCATTAAGACAAATTGCGCTATATGGCTTCCAAATTTTAGATGCTTTAAGATTTTTACACTCAAAAGGGATACCATTTGGTAAATATTATTAATAATCTACCTAGAAAAAAGTATAATGGATTTAAATTGGATTTCAGGCCATTTGCATACTGGAAATATTATTATTACAGATGATGGTGTTCGTTTATTGGATATTGAAAATTTTGTATTAGGTGTACCAGCATTTTATAGGCCATTTTTTGTTCAACATAGCAAAATGCATACAATGGAAAATATAGATGTTTATTGTTTTGGGCATGTTTTATTTGAAATGTGTATGGGCTATCCAATGCAAGAGTCAATAATGCGTCAACCACTTGATATTCCAGAACCATTAAGTAAAAAATTATAAAAGTATATAATTTTTTATTTCAATGTAAATTCGTTTTTTTCTTTTGTTTTTAAATATGTAAAGAACAACTTCTTGAATCATTGTTATCGAAAGAGGCTTGTAAAAATATGTTGCCAACCCTTGAACAATTGGCTGAACATAAATTTTTTAAGGAATATTCTAGTCCGGATGAAACTTTAGTTAATACTAAAGGACATTTAAAATTATCAACAAATGCCAAAGAACAACTCAAAATTGCTATACAAAAAACTGAACAACGTTTACAAAATGAACAAAAATCTGTAAGAATTATTTTTAAAAATAAAAGTTGTTTAACGTTAAATAAAATGCTAATATGACGTTAATTAAATATTATTTGTGTATTAAAGGTTAAAAATCAGAAACGTTTAGTTCGTGTCCAAGAATTAATGAGTTCTGAAGAAGAAAAAAAGAAATCAAAACATAAAATGAAAGTGGAACAAAAACAATCAAAACTAAAACAACAAACTTCATTACAAACACAAAATGGACCATCTTTGTCATTAGCATCTACATCATCATCATTTGCTAGTCCTACCAATGAACCAGAAATAACAACGCCTAAATCATCAACATTAAATAAATCAGAAAGTATTTTTAGTCAAAGTACATCTCAAGAAACTCCATTATCACCACCTTCATCTCAAGGTATATACGGAATTTTTTAAATATGATTTCTTATTTTTTTTTTTAATTTCAAAAAGTATTAATGTAAATACAATAAAGTGTTATCATTTTTTTCTTATATAGCTTCATCTCAACTGTCTCCGCCACCACCACCACCAGCGCTTCCAATTGATATTCCGACTATAGCAAAATCAGCCGAATCAATAGTTGAAAATAATAAAGAACGTTCTGCATTACTTGAATCAATATGCAGATTTAATAGAAGCTCTTTGCGTAAAGTTAAATCTAACGATGAATAACTAAAATATTTTAAAACACAATACAAATATCAAAATAAATAACAAATATTATTATTGCAACAAAAATAAAAAAATTTCATACAATTTCTTATATAACAAAAAAAAAGTAAAAAATAGAGTAATAATAAATAAAAAAAAAAATTTAATATAAATACAAAAAAGATTTTTGGACCAAAAAGACTCGTAACATGTGTGGTTAAAATTAAATACATAGACATTTAAATAACACTATAAATTATATTTCAATAGCTATAACATGAATTGTAGAATAAAAACATTATAAAATAATTAAAAGTAATTAAATGTATATCAATGTATAGACTAAAATTTAAAATAGTAATTTATTAATATATAATACTTAATATTTAGTAATTTTTAATATTCCCAACAACACTTTGTTGTACTGTAGTTGAAAAGAAAAAAAAAAACTAAGAAATACGCAATTTTTGTTTTTTTAAATATAAAATTTAAAATATGGGAAAATAAAAAACAAGTAATTTTTATAAAAATTGTTAACAAAAGATAACAACACTTGTATATCTACCTTTTTGATAAACTATTTGTTGCTTTTTTTCTATAATAATTCAATTTAAAATTTAAGAATATAAAAAATATTTACAAAACTCCTAATATGACTGATAACAAAAAAAAACAATGAATAAGTAAAGTTCTTTAAAAAAATCCTATGAAATTTAAAACTAGATTCAAAATGCATCTTCAATTTTTTTCATCTAAAGACAACAATTAGACAAATTTTATTACTAAATAAAAAATATTATGTATCACATATATATATACATATATAAAATAAATTATACATAATATATATATATATATAATATGTTAAACTTTTCTTAATTATTATAAGATTTTTTATTGTAATACAATAAAATAGATAAAGAGCGCTTTTACCCACATTATGAGCTTATTACCCGATTTTCTGAAAATATATTGATGTATAAAAAAAAAAACTTCTGAACTTTAGTGCTTATTGTTATAATATATAAAATTAAAAATACCCATAAAGTTTATAGGCAAATAAAACATGCATACATAAAAAATATTTTAATTTTTGCAACAATAATCTATAAGGACATTTCTAAAATAACTTTAAATTTGAATAATTTCACCTACAATCTATTTTTAAATTTAAAGGTTTTTATTATTTTTTTTGGAACAAACGGAATTTTTGATAATTGAAGTTTTTATTTTTATTTATACATGGTATTTAAATTATGTTATTTCTTAAATTTCATTTTACTTTTCGTTAATATATTTTAATAAAAAAATATTCAATATAAATCGATCAAATGAATATGCATTAATTTAAAAAAATAAAATCTCATTTTGAAACTATTAGCTTAAGTTTCACATTTCGGTAGAATTCAAAGCTGGTGCTTAAATGTTAAAGGTGCTTAATTACGATTTCTTAACTCTCAACAGAAAACAAATTTAATTTTTTGTTTTGAACTTATTTAATCTTATTAAAGTCTTTTAATTATTGTATTAAAGTCTTGTATTCTGTTCTCATACTGTTTTCAATACTGAATTATTTGTTTTTGTCCTATGAAATTATGATTTAGAGAACTTAAGCGTTATTATTTTTACTATTTTGGAAGTAATAAATTTTTTCTTATAGCTGATCTATAAAATTTTGAATTATCTATAAAAATTGAATAATTTAAAGAAAAATTTTAGTTAATTAATAAAGCACCGATGTTTATCCGTCTATATCTTATGTTTGAGTAATTTATTTTTCCAAGTAAAATATTATGGTCTAAATAAATAATTAAACTATTTACATATTTTAATGTAATTAAATATAACGAATATTATAGTTAATTATAAAATATTCTAAATAATATTTAATATTAAAATTTTTGTTTCTCGATTTTTAATTTTCATAAATTTTGTATTTATATTTTAGTTTTGTTTGTATTGAAGTAATCGTTATTTCTATATTTTAATAAAATTTAAAATTATTTTATTAATTTTTATTTTTAATTTGTTTCTATTAAAAGTGATATAGTCATGTACAATTAAAATAAAAATAAGGAAAAAAAAATAAATTTTTATTCATTATTATTTAAAAATTAATTGGTTTTTTTTTAACTTGGTTTTTTTTAAGTATTTTTAAACTGTTAATTCTATTCCTTTAATGGAGTATTAATTAATATTATTTTTTATAGGGTTGATTTTAATGAAATTTGAAAACTTTAAAACAAAATTATGTTAAAAAAGCTAATTTACTTTTTCTTTTACCAATTAATCTAATTTATTATTTAGAAGGCATGAAAAGAAGTGTTAAAGTAGGATATTTTTAAGAATTAGAAAATATTTATTTAATTCAGCTTAGCAAGCGGGGGGGCAAACAAGTTATAAGTTACACACGTCTTGCACTTTTCATATCAAAACTCATTCATCATTTGCGCTTTACTAACATACGATATTTAAATTCAAGAGTTTAGTAAACTACAATCATTATCTTAAATATTATCAGAAGTTGAATTTTCACAATTTTTGATTTAATAATGCTTTCTTGTTTTCTTATGACTTATCTAAATAAATTTTGGCAAAAAAAAAAAATTTAAAAAATAATGAAAATAAATCTTGGTGGTTAAAATCATTACTAATTAATTTATTACGATTTTCTAGTTTTTAATCCCACCGAGATGAATTAAAATGTACAATTAATAAATATTATATTAAATGGTTAATTTATTAAATTAATGAAAATTTGCTTACTATAAAGTCGAAAACCGAAAAATATAAAAATATAAATTCTTATAATAATATTCAAATTTATAATACAAGTACATTAATATATTCATAAATACAAAATTAAATAATTTTTATTTTTTCCCAACATATTATTATCTTTATTTTTTGTTTAATATATTTGAAATTCATATAAATTTCATTAAAGTGCCTAAGTCAAAAACTCTCATAATAATCTTCAAAAATTAATTTTTATATTTTTTTAAAAATCGTATAAAATATTTCTTCAATAAAAATATAAAAATTAATTCGTATGGAGAAAAAAAAAAAGAAAGAAAAATTATTTAGTAAATATAAAATTATGATGATAACATTAATTTAAGATTAAAAATATTATATTATTGCCATTAATTTAATGTTTAAATAATAATAAATTGGTAAGTGTTAAATTGTGGAATTAAAAATTATGAAAATTTATATTGAATTAATCTATAAACGAAAAAAAAAATAATTAATAAAGATATATATATATATATATATATTTCTATTAGTAAAAATATTTACGTGTTTAAACAAGGTGTTTATTAAATATAATAATAAAATTATAAATGTTAATGTAATTTGTATTTCATAAAATTTTTAGTCAAAAAAATGTAAATTAGTTTTAATTTAAGTGAATAACAGATCACAGCAATTAAAAAAAAAATATTGAAAATTTATTAAATAATTTTTTTTTTATTTTGCAAGTACGTATAAAAAAAAATATTTTTGTAAAAGAATAAAATGAAAATTTGTAACAAAGAAATTTTTATATTTAATAATTAATTAATTAAATTTTAAATTAAACTATTTTTACTAAAAAAAAATTCGAATATATTTTTATAATATAAATTTATTTTTCTACATACTTAATTAAGTTCATGTAGTTTTCACCTGTTTCATGAAATCTCCGGTTGATTATGCTGAAATTATATTTTTGTTTTAATTAAAATATTTGAAATTGATCTTAATTATTTATAAAAATTCCATAATAAATTAAAATTATATTCGATTAGGTTCGATTATTTCTTTATAAACGGATTCAATTTTGATTCCTAAGTAAAATTTTAATAATTTTAGGGTTTTAAAAAACTAAAAAATGTTTAATCACCATAATATTTTGGAAACAGGTGGAAATACAGTTTCACATATCATACAATTTACTTTAATATATTTTTTTTTAAATTTTAATTTTCTCAAATTATTATCATCGAATATGATTTTATTATGATTTAAGTGATAAAAATTTGAAATTATAAGAAATTATATAATATTATGTTGTATAAAAATTAATAATTTTGATAACTTTAAATTTTTAAGGCTAAATTGTGTATCTTACATTCTTAAAACTCATCGAGTTGGTAAAAATCGAATAAGTCTAATACAATTTGTATAAGAAAATTTTGGGAGTTGAAAAGAATTGTAAAATGTAGACAAATTTTAATCACCATCTATTCACTTTGCTTTTTGAATGTGATAAGTTCAATTTGATAATTTGAGAAAAAAATGTAGATTTTTACATTAAAATGACTTGTTCATAAGAAAAATTACTTGTTCATAAGAGAAATGACAAGTGAGATAAAAAATTTAGATACACGATTAGGCTATGTAAAATTTGTAAAAAAATGTAAAATAATTTTTAAAATATATAAATTATTTTAATTATTTTAATATTATTATTTTATTTACATTTATATATTAAACAAAAAATGTTAAATTTTAATTTATTTATTTTTATTTAATTTAATTATTTCATATATACCTACACTATCAACCTACATGTATACACTACAAGCATTGTAATATTTAAAACTCAGTTTTAAAGGTTTCTTTCCACAATTATTTTTATTAAGTAAAATAATATTAAGAATTGGTTTTTTAAAACTTGTATTTATATCTCACTAAAAACTAATTTATATATGTATATATATATATATATATATATATATATATATATATTAAAAAATTAATCATCATATAATCAAAATTAAAATTATACATACAGTAATTTATTTAAATAAGTGTCTAAATTTTTAATAAATAAATTTTATATTTATATATGTATATATATAACATAATAACAATATAATATGATTGTAATAAAAAAATTTCTCATTTATTAATAAAATATCACATATAAAAACACTTGCATATATATTATATATGTACATATATATAATAAATTTAATTTGTAATTATCTTTATATTATTAAATGAACAAGAAAAAGTCAAATATTTATGATTAATTTTAAATCGAGACCCCCTATATATATGTAATTAAAAAGGCTTTAAAATTTTTATATTTTTATTTAATAATATTAATTATTATTTTATTATTATTAATTATTATTAAATTATTTTAGTAATAAAATTTTATTTATGAAAAATTTTATTAGAAATTTATAACAAATATTAATATTTTTCGGGTCTCTAAAATTACTTTATAAAAAAAACAAATGGCGGTCTATTATAAGTATTATTAATATTTAATTTATATGTGTAAATTTTAAATTAAGAATTAATTCAAATTCTTTTTTATAAACATTATAAAGTCTGATGTTATAAAAAAAAACTATGAAATCAAAATAGATTTTAATAAAATTATTTAATACAAAGAAAAAAATACAAAAAAATTATTTCTTATCAATGTCAAAAACAAACCAAAAAAACAAACCAAATTAATTTAAAAAAAAAATATTAAAAAACTAAATAT